ATCAATTACATAAAAAGGATAAACTGTCTTATAAAAGTGTCTTTTAAACGTGTGTGAGAAGGGATTACTGATGTAATGATGAACACACTTTTATCAGAGAGACTTTCCTGATTTTACTTGAGTTTTAAGTTCATTTAAACTCTCTTTTATTTCAGTTTTATCTACCAGTGTCTTTATCAGTTCTTTTAAAAGTTCTTTTCATGTCTTGTCTGTTTTAATTTTTGACATGTAAAGCACTTTGTAACTCTGTTTTGAGAAGCACTTCATGAATAATTATTTTTATTATTATTTTTTTTATTATTATTAATATTACTTCAAATACAATTATTTTAAATGCTTCAACAACAGGAGATCTAAATTTGTGTAAATGATATTTTGCCAACAGAATCAAACTGATTTACAAGACACAGCAGCACATCAGCTTTTGTGGTCATGTTCTCAGTCACATCGCTTAATCAGGTCACGTAATCTGCTTCTTCAGTAGAATTATTTAAAATCCAGGAATTCACAGACACAACCAACTATCCAAGAATTTGGCCACAATTCACAAATTAGTGTATTTTTTCCAATCATATAATCATTTGAACCCCTCAAATGTGTTGCAGTAAGTGTTCCCTTGAGCCAGTTAAAGGCTCGGTACCATTGCACGTGTGTGTACATGATCAGGATGGTACCAACTCCGCCTCATTTAGAGCCAGGAAATACCCTGATGTCAACCACTACAATACTAGTCTGCACTGATTTTTTTGGTTTATCAGCATCTAAAAACCACTGGCACCCTCTACTGACTGTTAACAGTAATAAACTGGGTCAATCATAAACATCTGACAAGTTAGAAATAAGTTATTATTTACAAACACAGTGGTTTTGATTAATTCATATTAATTTGTCTATTCATTTCCACAGGCCATATTTAAAAACAGAGCGTAGTTATGGTGGATTTTATTTGAATATGCAACACTATTTAGCAGAATGTAATCTAAAACTGTAAAATAAAATAATCAAGTGGGACTGCAACTAGAGAGGATTCTCATCATCCATTCATCTTCTGATTATTTTCTCAATTTGTCTGTGAAATGTCAGAAAATATTGAAAAATTGTCCATTACAATTTCCCAGAGCCCAGGGTGACGTCTTCAGATATCTTGTTTTGTCCATCCAACAGTCCAAAACCTTTTGGTTCATAAAAAAGCAAGATAACTAGATAACATCCAGATGTAAGGTGCTGGAACTTGTGGCTATTTTTGCTTTAAAAAACAACAAAATCAACCGAACATCAAAACTGTTGCTGTTAATTTTCTGCCAGTCAAGTAACTGTTTAATTGACTGACTTTTTAAATTCTTCTGCTCCTCCCATTTAGGAAGTTTGCTGAAGACAAAATGCAATTAAAGTGTTTCACTGACCTGTCTACTGGATGAGAAGCGGCCCGTCTCTCCTGAGCGGGTGTGTATCTCTAGTGGTGCACTTGTATACCACTTACAGAGTTACTGTGGTGGTGCTCTCTCCAAATGTTGACATGGGGGTAAATTAAAGTCAAGAGCTGGTAAACACAGAGGCCCACTTCAGCCCTCGTTTCTAGCATATTATTAAGTCTTATGGACAGGAAGGAAAATAGTGGCAGAAAGGTCAAGCTGCAAGTTACCCATGGATCGTCAATATTTGTGCTTCTACCATAAGTAAATACGCTACGTAGTTAAATCTTGTGTTGTTTTTTTACTAGTTGTGCTGTAGGGCTGTAACAATTATTTCCATTTTCAATTATTCTGTTGATTATTTAATCGACTAATCAAGTAGTTCTTCAGTCTATAAAATATCAGAAAATGATGAAAAATATGGATCAGTGTTTCCCAAAGCCCAAGATGACATCAACCATTTGTCCACAACCCAAAAACATTCAATTTAGCGCCACTGAAGAGAAAAGAAACCAGAAAATATCCATGTTTAAGAAGCTGGAATCAGAGAATTTTGACTTATTTTCCTTAAAAATGACTTAAACTGATTAATTCATTATCAGATTAGTCCTTAATTAAATTCATAGTTGGCAACTATTGATTTATCGTTGCAGCTCTACTGGGCTGTAGACCACAAACAATGAGACGAAGTTAGTACCATTAAAAGACCAGTTATAAATGGCATGGATCAAAGACTTCTGGCTGTGCTTTAGTTAGTATTTTGTATCTATATTTACGTATAATAATTATATTTACTGGGTGTTTATTTGTACAATTGACTGGATGCTGCTGTTCCACTTCCTGGCTTCCGGCTCAATTTGTTCTGTGCAATGCGCTTGAGTTAAAAATAGACGACATGCGTGTGTTTAGCGGCCAAGAGAAGAGAGCCGCTATTGGGACACTCATTGCAGGACAACCGGTGGAATCACAAGCATTATCGAGAGGAAACATATACTAATATATATACTTAAGCAATATCACACGAGAGGGAGTGATGTTATACTCGTATATCGTCACGGTTGTAATTCGGTCATAGGCACGAGGCCGCTGGCCGAGTGCCGAAGACAAGTCATTGAGCTCCGCTGATGAAACACTGACAAACCTGGATGTGTGCTCAGATGGATTCAGCTTCTCCTCTCCCTCATCTTCCTCTGATGACCATTCATAGTTCAATTCAAAACTTATTTTAGGAAATAAATCCATATTTTTGGCTGTTTGACAGTGGATAAATTAATTAGCCTACAACGCAACTGCTGACCTAACTGACACTAACCGTCAGTTTTGATTTGATTGTTGATTGCACTCAGCTGTGAGGTGGAGTGATACATACACAGTGAAATAACCGTGATGTTGTACAATATCGTCACGGTTTTACTGTCTCTTGACCAATCAGATTGCAGGGCCGGAACTAACTGTTGTATAAAGTATATTAATATATTTCTCCTCCATTGTTGTGGTTTAACACTTCTTGTACATGTAGGATGTGACGCTTGGTCTTTGTGCATTTGTCCCTTTCATCCTTCACTGCGATTAGACGGCTGTATAAAAAGTTACAGTGACGAGTACAGTATTTTACCCAAAGTTGAATATTTTTCATCTCTTGGTGCTCAAAAACAAACGCTAAATATGCAGCGCTCAGTGAAGAATAGATGCTCAGTGTCTCATCACGCTGCTGGCGTTTGTAGCATAGCATAAATATGCACTGCTCCCATTGCAAAGAATTAAAAAATATGCTGGCCTCGGGGAAAAACACTTCAGTAGACAGGGCCTTTTCATCTTGTAAGTTTGTGAGGACATCTAATCAAGTGTTCTGAGTTTGTCTGACCCAGTTATAAGGACTGACCCAGTCCTAGTTCCTCAAAACAGGACAATCTGTCTGCTGGAACTCGCCACTGCTCACTTACCACAGAAACTTTTTGTTCTGTCAGAAATCAGAAATATCTGCAAGAAGCCTGACAGCCACAAAATTATATAAGAATCACAATAGCTCCTTAAAGTATCTACAGAATAGAATATGTATAATTTGAATTCTCTAGGGTCAGTTTTGTGCTTCTCACTTGTGGTTTTAGCTCAGAGTTAAAAAGAGGAAGCAGATAATAGATCAGGCAGGGTTCTTTATATAAACAAGTACGGTTGGACTAACAATAAGGCAACAATTTATTTGAAAAATGAGTATCAGCCAATTCACGACATTCATCTCCAAAGTGATAATATATCCACACTGACTACAGGCTGTTTCTTTTAATGTATTCATCTTTTATTCCAGTGTAGACGAGCTGGATTGCCATCAACAGGTTATGGTCTGTCAATGTGTAAAAGCCTGTAATGTTTCAATGCTTATAGCGCATTCTCTTGGTCTAAATGCAGTTTCAGAGGCCGACAAGAAATCAGTGGAGGTGAGATTATTCCTATTCAGAATATACATACAAGGTAAATGTTTTAAAAAAACATTTTTATTTGAATATCCACACAAAAACATCATGTATCTGTTGATTAAGTCCAAAACATCTGCACCAGTATCGGCCTTTAAAAAACAATATCAGTCCAACTCTATAAAAAATGCACAACAGCAGCTCCAGCAAGGAGCACCAAGTTCTGTCATGAACTCGATGACACCGCAACCTGCAGTAGCAGCCACGCTCACTAGATGGTGACATCCTACATTTAAACTGTCTGAAAAAGTGAGCTGAGCCACTGAGGGAGAGTAGCAAAAAAACTCTCAAATTACATCTGGGAGCGCCAGAGTTTGGCTTTTAAAAACAGTAGAATGGAGGACACACACTTCAAAGTTTCCAGTTCAGCTCCACTGGGCCGGGGCATACAAGTGCGACCGTGGACTCCCTGATGACAGATGGGGCAGTGAAGACAAGCAGATGTTTTGGGACCCTGATCTGATCAGCAGTAGAGACCCAACACCTCCCCACGCCCGAGAGTGAGCAAAAACACTCAGAGGCAGAGAGAGTTGGGGGAAAAATAGAAAGAAATAGGAAGGGAGAAGGAAAGGGGGGGAGTAAAAGGGGGACTGTAGGCAAAGGAGAGACATAAAAAGGAGAACGAGTGAGGGGAGGGAGTGTAAGAGAAAGTGAGAGTGAGCGACGCAGTGGGGAGCAGGAGCATAAGGAGAAAGGAAAGAGAAAGAACTCAGAGAGGGGGAGGGAGAGTGTTTTTATCCTCATGTGCACTCAGTCAGAGGGGTCAGTGAGTGCGATTGTTCCTAGACTGCCTGTCAAAACAGTGCGGCTACCACAGGGTCTATTCATCTCCGCCCCACTCTGAAATGCACGCGCTCACAAACCCATACTAACTCACGTATGCATGTGCAAATGCATAAGGAGCCTCCAAAAGCTTTTAATAATGCTCTTATTAAAGCCTTAGCAACAACCCAACAACAGCATCAACACAGTATTTTGAGACCTGCGTCACTGCACCACCATCATCCACTGTGTTTGAGTTCCAGCTCTGTCATAAACATGCACAGGCAAGTGAATAACTGCACTGTGAGAAAGTGGCGGGCAACTTGTCGTGGAGTCACAGAAAACACTTTCTTACCAGGTAAAGGAGGAAGGTGTGCAGGCCAGTGCCAAGACCCACCGAGGAGAGGATGCCCAGGCCGACCCAGTAGGCGCACCACAGCGTCTTCTTCTCCATGTAGCGCACATACTGCAGAGGCCAGAAAGAGGGACGGTCAACCACATGGCAGAGACACATGCACAGAGTGTGAGGAAAACAAGAAAGGGGAGGGGGGCACAGAGAGAGGAGGGACAGAGACAGAGTGAGAGAAGGTACGAGAGTGAAAGTGTGCAAAACAGAGGGCACTTAAAAGGGTGGGAGAGGGCAAGTGAGTGGTAGAGAAAGAGAGGGAGAGGAAGAGAGTGAGAGAGAGACCTTTAGAGACAGAGGTTGTTGTTGAGTTTAGAGGACAGAGCTGTAGGGTAGGAGTGTTCAGCACGCTGACAGAAGAACAGCACCATTATTCTTTTTGATGGCAGCCAGCTCTTACACAACTCGTAAAGTAAGACAAGCCAAGATCTCTCTGTCTCTTTCTCTCAGTGTTCCTCTTCCTCCTGCTCATCTGCCACTATCACTCCATCTATCACTCAGTTTACACCTCCTCCCTCGAGCTAAGGCAGGTCGTTTTCAGGAGGAAGCATGGATTGTGTAGATTACGGGAAGGAGGGAGGGGACTGAAAGCACTGGGGAGTGGGGGAGGCTCTGACCGAAGACTTCATTTCCCAGGAAACCCAGCAAAACAAAAACACCACACACTGCCTCTCTCTTTGCTGGGAAGTGCAGTGCCAGCCATGGGCGATTGTTACGTGTGGTTATTGAGAACTGATTACACAACTACTCAGGCTGTGCATATTACACTGGAAAAAAAAAAGTTTTATGGCAGTGGGTTTCAAAATACTGCAGAACATATCAGGAAAAACACAAAAAGTAAGGAAAAATAAAGGGGAAGGGTTCGATTCAGATCCTTAGCACAGTCTGCTGTGGTTTACAGTCACAACTCCACAAGTTTGCCCTGTGGACACAAGAGATTAGCAGGTACAACAAGGCTTTGTGGGAGGTTAATTATTAAACGAACGTGATGTAGGCACACTCACACAAGCACAAACTTGTTAGAAATGATGCTCGTGCAAATATCCTCTCACAGGCACTCTTGTGATCCTGCAGTGAAAATCCCAATCTCTGCACTTATAATTTTGTAGGACACAATAATCACGCATGTCACTATGAAGGACCTAAATGAATAGTAAATAATAACACTATTCAACCTTAGGTCCCGTTTATACGACAACAATTTCAACTGAAAACAGTTAACTTAATTTTGGGTGCCTGAAAACGCAGCGTTTTGAAAATGGGTTCCAGAGTGCAACTTTTTGGAAACGGCAGCGTCTCCGTTGTCATGTAAACTTGCAATATCCAGTTCCTCTGAAAACAGAAACTTTTCGCACACGCGCATTACGGTTCCAGTCACTAGGCATGCGCGAGAAAGTCGACCGTAACAACAATGCCGAGCTCTGTTTGTGCTGCTCACCCTGTTGATTTGAAGTGAAGTGTAGATCTGTTACTGTAGCAACTCCACCTCGTTGTCCATCCAGACAAATTTATCTGTGCATGCTTTCCCCAGTGTGTCTTCTTTGTTTTGGTTTGTAATCACCACGTTGTAGAGGAAGGCGCTTCAGCGCAGGCGCATGGTGTCATGCCGTGGTGTTGCTTTGCAAATTTACACTGCCACCCATTGGCCTGGCGTGCATACTACAGCATTTCAAGTAGATTTTGCGGCTCTGTGTGAACGGGAATCGTTTCAATAACGTTGTCATATAAACGTAGAAGTTTTTTAAAACGCAAAGGACAGACTTTTCCGTTTTTAGAGAAACCGTTGTCGTCTAAACAGGGCCTTAGTGGGACTGGGGCTGCTTGAGTGACTTGCTAAAGGAAATTCCAACCTGTGGACAGGAGGAGCCAAGGATCAAACCACCAACTTTTTGAAAGGACAGACACTTGCTCTACTTCCTGAGCTACAGCCGCCCAAAGTATGTGTACTACATTCAGTGTTACACCTCTTCCTATGGGCCTTGACACACCAAGCCAATGTTCGGCCACTGGTCAATGTCGGGACATCTGTGAGCATCTGTCACCCTAGGTTTTGCGTTCTACACTGTTGGCACTAGTTGGCCCTTGTCGGTTGTCTTTCAGTCGATTCAGTATGTTGAATCTGTACCGGAGACAGCGGAGGAAATCACATGAATTGGCAGTTCAGCTCAGTGCGGGAGAAGAAAAACAGCTTAAGTCAAGAAGTTGTGAGCTAAACTAGCTTGTTATATTAGGGCCGCTTGTTTTAAACCATCAAGTTCTTTAGCAGAAATGGTTTGTAACTGTCATTGCTCACCAGCATACTCTAAATGTAATTTGTTTATTCAGCATCAGGTTGTGGGGGCGGCAAGGTGGTTAGCATTGTTGCCTCACAGCAAGTCACCTCCTGGTTCTAATGCAGGGTGGGGGGTTCAAACCCTGGGGTGGAGGAGGCCCTCTGTGCGGAGTTTGCATGTTCTCCCTGTGTCAGCATGGGTTTTCTCCAGGTACTCCAGCTTCCTCCCACAGTCCAAAGACATGCAGGTTGGGTCAAGTGGTGACTCTTAATTGCCCGTAGGTGTGATTGTGAGCCTGGATGGTTGTCTGTCTCTATGTGTCAGCCCTGTGATAGTCTGGCGACCTGTGCACGGTGTACCCCGCCTCTCGCCCAGTGTCAGCTGGGATAGGCTTAGGGATGTCATGATTAAAGATTTTCTTGGTACGATTATTGTCAGAGAAATAATCACGGTTTTACGATTATTATGCATGAATTAATTTCACACTATAAATGTGTAAAATCACATGAACACTCCTTATAGATCTTTAAGTTTCATTTATGTCCATGTGCTCCTGCTTTTTCTTTTATCTCTCAACACAACAGTGATGGTTATAAGTACGTGTGGCAACTATTTTGTTCATGTATGAAAATATAGTAGCCGTACAACCGGGCTTAGTAAGGTTGGAGTGTTTTTAAGTTGATGTAAAAATAAACGACGAGCATTTGCGAAATCCCGCACTCGTGTGGACGTGAGTTTCTGCCTGTCGTCTCACTCCAAAGAGCTACATGGACCCAAAACCATTACAACCTCAGGCTGTGTGCACACAAACATCAAAACTATCCATCAAAAAAGTTTTTGAGACGTGCCTTAGCTTGTCACGTTGCACTGTAAGCCCAACTCGTATCATACCACTACGCCATTAATTGCAAATGACACACTAACATATAATTTTTTAATTCAGTGTTACATTAGATAAATTGAGATTTACGTATTTTAACCCAGTTATTGTGCATTTACCTTTACTTGCTAATGTAAAGCCGGGTGATTGTACCGCAGGTGTTGTATCATGTTGCTCTTGTTTGATCCTTTGGCCGCGACTTTTTTGCGGCATGTTTTACAAACTGGAAAGCCGTCGCCAACAATGACCCCTTGGTCATCTTTGCAATAGCCAAAATGATCCCACACAGCTGACTTTATCCGTTTTTTGGGGGGGAATAAATCTTCTTCATCCATACTTCATCACTCGGAGACACCGCTTGTGTAACTTTGTTTTCATTCCGTGTGAGTTGCGCTGACCTACTGTATATGGTTCCACGTCGCGGCATAATCTTTGGAGAGTGACAGTGTTGAGGAATCCTTACGAGTAATTAACCGTGTCGTTTAAAATCGCGGTTAATAGTGAAATCAAGTACTCGTGACATCCCTAGATAGGCTCCTCGTTAGGCTTGCTCGTTCACATTGCTTTTGGTTAGGACGAGGTGTTATGGTGGTAAAAATGGCAGGAAACTGTAACTTGCACTCCATAATTATAAGGCAAGCAACCATCACAGAAATAAAGCTGGCAACCTCCCTTAAAAGACCCAGACTTCATGATTTATGTCAGCCTAACAACATGGAAGAGATCAGGTGGTGACCCTCCACGGCATCCCAAGTATGCGTTTACTGTACTATGAAAAATATTAGTATAGTATTGAGTCACCTTCTGGTGTGTTCCTTCAATACAGTAGGCAATGGAGAGGAGGATAAGCAGGATCAGCAGGCCAAACACTGTCTGTCTTTGCTGCCAGAGCCTGGGTGAAGGAGAAGAAGAGAATGAAGGTGGAAAATGATGGATGCAGACATGAGGAGGCAGAAGTGAATGGTAAACAAGATGGTGAGTCAGGGGGACAAAATGTGATGGCAGATGAGAAAAAAGATGAGGAATCATTAGAGGCATGACTGAGGAAGTGTGAGTGAAAGGAAAGGAATTCTTTGATGGAGCTAAATTTTAATCTTAACTTTGTGGGAGAGAGACATCTGCTGGAGACTAATCAAGCCACTGCAATTACAGGCTTCACCAACAGCAGTGGCATGTTCTCCATAGGATAATTTTAGTCATGGGGGTAATACACTTAAAGGGAAACCAGTCACACAGGAAAAGTGGGGTAAAACTCCACCTGCTGACACCAGAAATACATGTAGTTTTATTGAATAATTTAGATATTATGATAATTCTGGATTTCTGGATTAATGAACAACATAAAAATAACCTGAAATGCCCTGACTGTAGGAAAACAACAATAAGCCCAGAGATTTGACAATGAAATATGTTGCCATGTGGGGCTGATTCCCTGTTCCCTGATTCCCTGTTGTGTTTATATGTATATATATACATATATATATATATATATATATATATACATACACACACACACAAAGTCTACAAGTGATAGTGTCATCAGTGTATTGTGGAGGGCACATGTTAGCTTCTCTGTTTACACAGTAGCCTACATTATATATTTTTTTTTAAAAAACATTTTTTAAAGCCACTTTCAAGATAAAAAGAAAAATCCAAACAGGATCTTTTCTTTGCCAAGCTTGTTTCTCCTGGACATAACTGAGCTCAATATAACATCAGTATGAGCTTTTAACCATTTTCTCATACTCAGACTTATATTCAGCTCCTGTGAAAAAATTTACAATGCTCTTTTTCCTCTCTTACTGCAGTAATCTTTATGTCTTACATAATTAGCTCTTGAGATAACAGTAACATCCAAAAGGAAACTTGATTGGCAATTCAAGTCTCAACTCTGTATTTTATCTGTTCTCAGAGTTGATAAACCTCTGAGAAGCCTATGAGCACAGCAAAATAACTCCTGCTGATTTATTCTTTTGCTCGAGGGATTTAGGAGAAACTGATCAGAATTTAGTAATCTTAAAATGAGAAACTGATTTATTTCTGATGAGACAATGAAAATACTTTTTGTGAGCAGCAAGATTTTCCTCTGAGTTGACAACTGATGGTTGAGAGAAGGGTGTGTTAACTTAAGACAAGGGATAATATTGGCACATCACAGGTATCAGCCAATATCAACTTTAAAATGAACTATCAGCATCAGCCAACATGCTTTCTCTTATTTTGCACAATGAATGAATATTGCATACATTTAAACGTATGCTATTTTATGTCTCCATCTGCTGGTGGGCCATCATGATAGGATTATGCATGCATAATATGATACTACAGAAGAGACTTGACCACTAAAATTAGCTGGGGAAAAAAGTGGATATATCAATATCGGTATCGGTTATCCGCCATATAAGTTGTTATATATTGACATATCAGATATTGTTAATAATATCATGCATCCCTACTTAAGACACTGGAGGACTTCTTGATTAAGGGCCAGACCTAACTTGCACTCATGAGGAGAGACTAAACTACTTAACTATCAGTAGCTGAAAATAACTAGCACTAAGTATACTTACATTTAGCTAACGTAACTAATCAGTCCCTCCAGAAAATCGCAATCTTGCGATCGCAATAATTAACGCATATTCAACAAAAGTCCACAATATTTGCGGGGGCCTGCAATTTCTCAGAAGTCCCGTGATTTTTTTTCCGTGTTTTTCCGGCCGACCAGAAGTCGTTGCGCACGCGACGTCATTTGAATTGTCATCAGACGCGTCATCAAATGCGCTAATGGCACTGCAGTATGGAGAAACGCTCTGTATTGACATAAGAATTTGTACTGTTTAAATGCATACAATATGTGTTGTATTAAAATGTTATGTTTACAGAAGATGTAACTTACATGTTGTTTTACAGTCACATTGTCTGGTACAATATTGACTCAGGATTTTTTGCAAAATTATTAGAGTCCATGTTTTGAAACTAATTAAATAAAACTAAAGAAGAGAACTATAAAAAACATTTGCAGCTATTTTCGTAATATTCAGAATAATTATTATAGCAAGTGATTACATGACCCATTTTTTTTTGGACTTAGTAATTAAAAAAACAAAACATCTTTTTTCTCCTTTTGTCATTAGCTGCAATTTTTGTCATTTGCTACAATTTCACGCAAAAAATGCAGCAATTTTTATCGCATTTTTTTTTACAAAACTGACCGCAAATTCAAGGGTTTTTTGCTGCAAGATCCTGGAGGGACTGTGTAATGTTACTCAAGTGATGCTACAACATACAATTTTGGATAACATTTGTCCTCAGGTGCAGGTAAATGCAATAATAAAACATTAGCTGGCTATCAGCGGTTAGCTTTCATTCAATTTGGATGGCCAACAGAATTATTCTCTCTCATTATTTAACAGTAAAAATTACTGTAACATAACTGAAGTTACATAACTTAAGTAACAAGAACTTTGAGGTACTTGTGTTTCTACTAACATTGGTCCACTGGTACAGGTAAATGTGGTTATAAAATGTTGGCTAGCTGCCAGCAGTGGTAAATTAGTTAGATTAAGTCTGAAACGATTCTCTCACTAATTAACTAAATGGTGGCATTACTACAGTTACACAAGTAACATTACAACTTGGAGGAATGTGTGTTTTCACTTTCTGATACTTACATACGTATTTTTGCTTATGGAATTTGAATTAGGGGCCTCTAACTAAGCTAACGGTACTGCTAAACTAACGTTAGCCAGGTGAGGCTACTATTGTTAAACTGATTTGCTGCCATTTTAGTGTAAGCCGTGTTGTATTTTGGCTAACAGCTGTCCTTAGGCGCGGGTTAATGCAGTTATAAAGCATTAGCTAGTTTGTAACGGTGCTAAGTTAGTCAGCTTTCAGTCAGTCCGAATGGCCACCAGAATTAGCCTCTCTCATTACATTACGTTACTAAAGTAACGTTACAACTTCGAGGTACTTGTGTGTCCGCTCTTTTATTTAACGTTACATATGTACTTTAACGTAATATTTTTTTGGGAACTCCTAACCAAGTTAACATTAAAATGATTAGCAGCTACGTAGTGTAAGCTAACATTAGCCGTGCTGTAACGTTATTTTAGCTAACGTCCGTCTTTAGGTGCGGGTAAAATGCAGTTAGAAAACGTTATCTAGCCACCAGTGGTGACAAGTTAATTAGCTTTCAGTCAGTCTGAATGGCCAACAAAATTATTTTTTTCATAAATGAACTTACCAGTGTCCTGAGAGGCCGATCTGAGTTTGTCAGAAGTAATGTTAAGATTGACATAAATCAACGGAGTGAAACAAGTGAACTGCGAGCTGTCCGCTACACGCCCACCTTGACAGTCAGTCAGCTGCTGGTGGAGGTAACGTTAAGTGAAGGGGACACTTCTCCGTATTTCACATAAAATTATCTCTGTAATAATATCAATATATGTCTTGTTTTCTCTCCTAAGTTAATTTAAACTGTACGTAAAACCCTTAAAATCAATAAAAGGGGGAAAAGCACAAAAGTTATGATATTCTTAAAATGTTCCCAGTGTATCAGATAATTTAGATAAATCTATATTTCCCCTTGTATGTTTATTTTATCTTATGTTATTATTATTTAATTACTTTCCTCTCCTTTGTTGTTAATGTTAACATTTCCATTAAAACTAACATTTAAAAGCACTGATTGGGATTTGGCACAAAAACAGACAATACATAGAAGGCTTAAATTACTTCATTATAAATGGTTAATGCAAATGTACATAACTCTTGTCAAACGTTATCATATGTCTGCAAATATTCCTGATGATTGTGCTTCAACAGAAGAAAAGTGCACTATTTCACTGTCTATGGTAATGTGCAAAAATCCTTTACTTCTGGAAAGATGTTATAAAATGTTTGTCAGAGATGTTTAACAGCAAGGTCACTTTAAATGCCATACTGTGTGTGCTTGGAATACATCCAGAGGACTTCATTCAAACACCAAAACATACTTAACTTCTGGACTTCGGACTTCTCCAAGCCAGGAGGGCTATTGCGTTATGCTGGAAGAGTATGTGGGTAAAGGAATTATCAGAGTGTGTAGGACTGAAAAGACTAACTTACATTTCTAAGGGCAAGCAGAGAGACTTTTTTCAACTCTGGGAGTCGTATATGAACATTATGAAAAGAGGAAATGTAGGCATCACCTGATCAGTTTTCAGTCATGTACTGTAAGATGTTTGCATTTGTCTTCTATGCCACTGATTCCAAATCTGGGAATCCCAACCCCCACTATGGGTCGCTAAAGCATCACAGAGCTCATGAGGCTTTCTTGATTTTAAGGGGTTTAAGAAAACCTTTTTAAAATATATACATTAGGCCAAATATCAGCCTTTCATTCATTTCTGTAAAGAAAACTAAATGAAATTGTTATTCTAAAAGTTTAGAATGTTATTCAAGATATAAACCCAAAATACATCTCACAGGATGGGGGCACAGTGAAGACCATAACACAAGCTCTATTGACAGAGCCTTTGCTCTCTGCTAAACCATCTCATCCTGCTTTAGGGAATATCAGGAAAACTCATCTCTGAATAAATGTTTACAGGAAATTATTTGGTCGGAATTCATCCAAATTGCCTGTTTTACACAAACTTCCTGTGGTTATTGTGTTTTTAATTTGGGTTAATTGAAGCCCACAGTTTCAGTTGTTCTGTACTGTTGTAGTTGCTGTGATGCATTGAATATAACATGAAATGCATCACTTAGTCCGGGGTCATCACTTCACTCCATAATAAAAAACAGGTCCCTTAAGGAAAAGGGATGGGAAACACTATTCTGTATTATTTATCACTCTGGCAATTTCTTTGTACTATCAAAATCACTTTGTAATTTAAAGTTTCAAACTGTTATCAATGTGTTGTTTAAATGCAACACATCTTCTCTTTAGTGTCAATTTTGTTTCCACATTACTACTTTAAGCTCATGAACAC